GATCTCCACCTGAGCTGCACAGACTCTCGATGCCCATGGGATGGTAGGCAAGTCTACCACCACTGAGGAAGATCACATGCTTCCACCACACACTTCTTTGTAAACTTACTACCTTTTACATTTTTCCGAGGTTTGCAAGATTTTTTCTTTGCACTCTGATTTTTAGTCGATTTTTGTTTTCTTTTCTCTTCTTCTGCGAGAACTTTCCGAAGCAAATGAGCAAAAAAATCGAAGTCAAAAGGGCGTTTCTCCTCTGTTTCAAAAAAAAGAAAAAGAGCCTTCAAGTTTTTATTTTATATTTTTTTAAAAAAGGAAGAGAATTTTCTAGTTTTTTTAAGTTTCATGACATCAAAAGCAAATAGGCTTTTTTTTTTTCTTTGAGAACCGGGGATTGAACTCAGGCCCTTGCGCTTGCCAGGCAAGCACTTATTCTACTGAGCTATCTCCCCGGCCCCCAAATAGGCTTATTTTATAGCAGAAAATGCCCTCATACCCCACCAGTATACTTCCGTTTCTAAGTTGCCCAGGTAATAGTTCCTGTTCCAGATCTGGTTGCTTCTGTTTCTCAGAAATGGCTGATCACTGCAATGCACACTGTATAAACCAATCCCCAACTGACAAGCTATATGTGCCTCGGTATTTCCTGCTTGCTCACACCACATAAGCCCTAGACATTCACAGATCAGGGCCTGACAGTCTGGGAGGGATCCCAATCAGTGCCTGTCGACATAAATTAACCTACCTCCAAATCCTGTGTGTCATTTCAGGGTTTCTGCTTGCTATTGCAAATTTTTTTTTTTTTTTTTTTAACATTTATTTAGTGTGTGTGTGGCCAGCTCAGCCCACCAGGGGGCGGGGCTGGCTGCCATGTGGTGCCAGGGGATCGAACAGCAGTAACTGTGCTTTGCCAAACTTGTTCTAAGTAGGTGCTTTAGACCACTGAGCCATCTTTCCAGCCCCTTGCTATTGCAATTTAACAGCAAGACAATGGACAAACAAGTATACAATAGTACACTAAACAGCAATAAAAGGAAACTAGTTTAGGGGTGAGGAAGATCACTGATAATAAGCAACAAACAGGTGAGGTCCTGAAAACATATCAAGTAAAAGAAACCAGGCACAAGAGAGTACATACTACATTAGTGCCTAGAATAAGATGGTTTACAACATGCTAGAAGAACTGTGGTGCTTCAAAGTGAAATAGTGGATGCCTTGGGCTAGGATAGGATTTGATTACTGAAAAGGAAATCAAAAGATCTTCTCAAGTGATGAAAATGTCCCATATATGGTTTGGCTTGGTGACTACAAAAGAATCATCTTTTGTCAAAATTCAAAACTAGGGGCCGGAGAGATAGCTCCATGGAATAAGTGCTCCCATGGCAAGTGCAAGTGCCTGAGTTCAATCCCCAATTCTGCCCAAAAAAATGCAAAACTACACTTTAGGGGCTGAGGATATATAGCTCAGTGGCACAAACACATGCCTGGCAAAACCAAGGCCCTGAGTTTGACTCCCAGTACCTCCCCCCAAAAAAGGAACAAAAAATCCTATACTTTCAAGTGTGTAGAAAAACAAATCAATTATTAAGATTGGCAAGGAGGACTGCAGCTGTGCAGCACAGGCTTAGCAAGCACATATTCCCGGGTTCCATCCCATGCACCAAAAGGGGATGGGGCCTGGGGCTAGTCTGTAGCTCACCCGGTGAGCACGTGCTTAGCAGGCTTGAGGGCCTCAGTTAAATCTCCAGCACTGCAGAATAAAAGTGAAGATGACTAAGAAATCTTCGAAATATCTATCCATTATCATAAGCCCTCTTTATCATGACTATTTCCAAATATCAATAACATGGGAAGTAAATATAAAACATAAATCAGTTTATTTTACTGTATTTATTTATCTTTTTTTTTTTTTTTTTTTTTTGGTGGAACTGGGGATTGAACTCAGGCCCTTGCGCTTGCCAGGCAAGCACTTATTCTACCGAGCTATCTCCCCAGCACCATAAGTCAGTTCAGTGAAACAAGCAATATTCCTAATAAATACCTATCAACAGCATATATTTCAAAAGCAATGCATAAAAACCAGAAACGAGGGCCAGTCAGATAGCTCAAGGGACTAAAACATCTGCTCAGAGCACTGCAGGCAGGGTTCCATTTCCCCACATGCTGTGCCAGCCCTGCCCCTGGGGCATGCTGAGACTGTGAATAAGACTGGGCATGGTGGCACAGGCCTGCAATCCCAGGACTTGGGAGGTTGAAAACCAGAGAATCACTACAAGTCCAATCTACATACTGAGACCCTATAGACCCTGTACTATTTAAAAAAAAAAAAAAAAAATAGGGCCAGGGAGATGGCTCAGTGGAATAAGTGCTTTCCTGGAAAGCGCAAGGGCCCAAGTTCATCTCCAGTTCCACAAAAATAAAAAAAAAAAAATAATAATAATAATAATAAAGAATGCTTTAGGGTTCAGGGAGATGGCTTAGTGGAATAAGCACTTGCCTGGCAAGTGCAAGGGCATGAGTTCAATCCCCAGTTCCACCAAAAATAAATGAATAAAATTTTTTAAAATGTTTTAAAAAAAGAAAGAAAAGAAACAAATCTAGGGGCTGGTGAGACGGCTCAGTGGTCTAAAGCACCTACTTAGAACAAGCTTAGCAAAGCAAAGGGACCACGGTTCGATCCCCAGCACCACATGCCAGCCAGCCCCTCCCCCACACACACACACACACAAATAAATAAATAAATAAATAAAAATTTAAAAAAAAAAAGAAACAAATCTATCACAAGAGTCAAATCTCTCCCTAAACTTCCCATTTAAGCTAGGGTAAAATGTACAAAAAGATTATAAGAAGGCCTCAGAAAAAAAGTATATACTGGGACAGGAAGATGGCTCAGTAGAATAAGTGCTTCCCTGGAAAGCACAAAGCGGTTCTGCAAAAACAAAAAAGGTATATACTAAGAAAAAAATAGCCCCAAGAAAAGCAAATCTGAAAAGTCCTGTTTTTCTATGGACCCATCTTGAACCTAGTAACTGTGTAACGGTTAGCTAGTGAACACTCTAGAAATCCATAAATGATTTCTCTATAAGGCACAGATGTCTGCCCTGAGTCCTCCAGGGTGTACTTTTATCTTGCTTTTTTCCTCTTCTACTTGACCCAATCTCATTCTTCACAGCCAGTTTCTCCCTCCGTCTTCACTTTTATTTTTTCAAATAAACATCACTGTTTAAAGAAAAAGGTCTTTATATAAGCCAGGCATGGGGGCACATGCCTACAAATCCAGCATTCAAGAGAATGAAACAGGATTGTCATGAGTTCAAGGCCAGCCTGAACTGCACAACGAGACCATCACAAAATACAAAGAATAAACTATCAAAAAGGAAAGAAAAGGGGCCAGGGAGATGGCTCAGTGGAATAAACGCTTCCCTAGCAAGCACAAGGGCCTGTGTTCAATCGCCAGTTTCACAAAAAAAAAAAAAAAAAAAAAAAAAAAGGAAGCAAAAGGGCCAGCCAGATAGCTTATCAGATTAAAGCACCTGCAAGCAGGCACAAGGACTGGGGGTTCAATCCCCGGGCCTGCTGCGCTGCCCCACCAGAGCACGCTGATAAGGCAATTGAGACTAGACATGGTGGCGCATGCCTGTAATCCCAACTCTTTGGAGCTGTAAAAAGGTGGATCACTACAAGTCCAATCTAGTAGTGAGACCCTGAACACCCTGCAGATCCTTCCCTAAAATACAAAAAAAGGGAAAGAAAATTTAAAATTTTAAGTTCCAAAAACACTCATATGGGTTTTATTTTTAATTTAGTTTAAATTTAATTTAATTACAAGCCACGAAACTCAGCAAAACAACTATAAATGCACAGATGTATGAATTATTTTCTTCTTATAGTAAGTTCAGCCTAATGAAAAGTTTCTCCATTTACAATAGTCCAGATATTCCATGAGCTATTCCTAGAAATGGTTTCCCTAAGGGTCCAATAGAACACTGGGTATATTCCTTTGTCTACCATAGTATTTACTTACATAAGGTAAACATCTATGCTACAAAACATAAGTTCTGGGCCGGTGAAATAGCTCAGTGAATTAAGTGCCTGCTTAGGCAAGCACAGGGACCAGGGTTCAATCCCTGGCACCACATGCTCAGCCAACCACCAAGATCAGGCCTGGTGGCACACGCCTGCAAATCCAGCACTGAGAGGCTGAAAACAGGAGGATCACTGCAAGTCTGAGCTGCATAGTGAGACCCTGTACCAAATACATAAAGTAAAAAAATAAGTTCTATGTCCATACATGGCTTTTGTCTAAAATTAGTATTATGGGCCTTGGGGGAAGTGGGGGTAGCTCAAAAGTAGAAGGTTGCCTAGTTTATCAAGGCCCTGGGTTTAATTCCCAGCACTGTAAAAAGACAATATGATTAGCATTATGGCTAATTTCAATTAAGAAAGTTCATTGAGGGGGCCAGGGAGATGGCTCAGTAGAATAAGTGCTTGCCTGGCAAGCGCAAGGGCCTGAGTTTAATCCCTGGCTCTACAAAAAAAAAATTTTTAAATTAAAAAAAAAAAGGAAAAAGTTTATTTAAGTTTAATAATCTAATCCTATGGCTAGATAGATGTTGGGTACATTTATTATAAAATGATGATAACTATATATCCATGAAAAATGTGTATATTTTAAGAAATAAAAGAACTACTTTAAAAAGTAAATTTGAGTGCTGGCCAGATAGGTCAGGGGACTAATATGCCTGTTTAGGCAGGTACAGGGGCCAGGGTTAGATCCCAGGGACATGTCAGCCAAACCCTGGGGGCAGGGGGTGAGGGGGGCACTGAGACAGCAACTGAGACTGGGCATGGTGGTATGAGCCTATAATTCCAGTGCTGGGGAGGATGAAAACAGGAGTATCACTATGAGTCTTAACTGCATAGTGAGACCCTGTACAAAATATATTAAAAAAGAAAGAAAAAGAAATCAGTCACTTTTGAAATTACTATGCAGTTCAACTTGTCCATCCATTTATACCTAAGGTTCTAAAGGCAGGCTTCTTTTTGCCCTGTTTATCATTTTATCCTCAATACCTCGCATACCAACCAGCACACAGCATGTGGTTACTGATGGTGACTGAATGACTAATTACTGGAAGGAATCATAGTCAAAACTCTTCCAGAAACAATGCCTTTGCTACAGTTCCTTCAGAATAAAGAACCACTTAGAAGTATTATCAGTCCTTTTTGGACTTCGAACTCAGTTTACCTGCTTCTGAATATTTTGGCTAATCCCTTGCCAATAGATTTGTAGCAACTACCAAAACTGTATTTTTAAAGAAAAAAAAATTCCAGTCTTATTATAGCAATATAAGTACAAAACAAATGTAATGGGGCACTGTGGGGCACACCTGTGATCCCAGCACTTGGGAGGCTTTCGCAGAAAGATGCCTCGATCTGCAGAGTGAGTTCAAGGCCATTCTCAACTATCTCAACTACACAGTAAGACTCAATTTCAAAACAAAACAAAATAAATCTGAAATATACTAAAGACAAAAGAATGGTCATGTTTTAGCATCTTTGTATCCTTAGTAAAAGGGTATTTAGTACTTACGGAATGCTTTGTCTATTCTCCACCCATTTGTTTTCTCTTCACGTTTAAATTTATTCTGTCAATAATAAAAAATACTCTTGTTAAACAAGCAAAGACTTTAATTAGCAAATATTAAAGGGAAACATGAATTAACACACTATTCTCTTCATTTATTTATTTATTTATTTATTTATTTATTTATTTATGTGTGTGGCCAGCTCAGCCCACCAGGGGGCGAGGCTGGCTGGCATGTGGTGCTGGGAGGATTGAACCGCGGTCCCTGTGCTTTGCTAAGCTTGTTCTAAGTAGGTGCTTTAGACCACTGAGCCATCTCACCAGCCCCAACACACTATTCTCTTCTAAATGGTCTTTGTCAACAGTTGAGTTACTTAAGCCAATAGCTTTTGTGTGTGTGGTACTGAAGCTTTAGCTTTTTAAAAATGATGGAAAAAATGATGAAAAATATCTTAATTAAAAAAATTAAAAGGAGGAAACTTGACGTGGTAAGTTTGTACTTTTTTAAAAATCCAACTGGGGCTGCTGAGATGGCTCAGTGGTCTAAAGCACCTACTTAGAACAAGCTTAACAAAGCACAACGACCACGGTTCAATCCTCCAGCACCACATGCCAGCCAGCCCCGCCCCCTGGTGGGCTGAGCTGGCCACACACACACACACACACACACACACAAATAAATAAATGTTAAATAAATAAATAAATAAAATCTGATGTCTTTAACATCTTCTAATGTACAGAATACCTTTTATTTCCATGCTTTTTCATAATAAAACTTCCTACCATGACAGTGTCTCTTAGTGGTAGCCCACCATATAGTACAGTGTATATTTTTCTCCCCTTTCTCTGCTTTTACTTGGCCCAAACAGCTTCCACAGTGCCTATTTTCTCTACTTGCAACAAATGTAAAACTTTCTGAATATTTAAAAAAAAAAAAAAACTACCATGCAATACTGAACTGTTCAAGGATAACCATATTTCTACCTTAAAAAATATTATTCTTGAGGGCCAGCCAAATAGCTCAGCAGATTAAAGTGCCTGCAAGCAGACACAGGGGCCAGGGGTTCAAACCCTGGGCCTGCCCTGCTGGCCCCACCCCCGGGGCACACTGAGATAGCAATCGAGATCAGGTGTGGTAACACATGCCTGTAATCCCAGCTCCTGGGAGGCTGTAAACAGACCCTGAACACTCTGTAGACCATTCCCTAAAATTTAAAAAAAAAATTATACACACACACACACACACACGTGTGTGTGTGTGTGTGTGTGTGTGTGTGTGTGTGTGTGTGTCAAACAGCTCAGTGGATTAAAGCACCTGTTTAGGCAGACTCGGGGGTCGGGGGTTCAATCCTCGGCCTGCTATGCAGGCCTCAGCTCTTGCCCTGCCCCCAGGGGGCCCTGAGAGGGCAATTGAGAATGGGCATGGCGGGGAGCACTTGTAATCCTAGCAGCTCTTTGGGAAGCTGAACACAGGCAGATCACTTCAAGTCTGATGTACGTAGTGAGACCCTATAGGCCCTTACTAAAAAGTACAAAAAAAATCTTTAAATGGCTCCTGAAAAATTAACAAAACTAAACTGGGGAGATAGCTCAGCAGTGTAAGCACCTAGTTGATTGGCAAATGCAAGGATCTGGGTTTGATCCCCAGTACCACATGCCAGGCCGCCCTAGGCACTGAGCTGGCCACCAAAACTGGGTGTGGTGGCACATACCTGTAATCCCATCCCTGGGAAGGCTGAGCCAGAATGATCACTACCGGTCTGAGCTGCATAGTGAAATCCTATACGAAATAAATTTTTTTTTTTTTTAATTAACAGAATTGCCTCCTACAAAAAGGTCAGACTAAGGGCTGGCAAGATAGCTCAGTAGACTAAAAACCTGTTTTGGCAAGCGTGGGGACTAGGGTTTGATCCCCAGTCTCACATGTCATGCCACCCCCGTCCCTGGGGCACGCTGAGCCTGACCAAGTCAGAAAACAGTGGCACATGCTTGTAATCTTTGCTCTAGGGAGGCTGAAAACAGGAGGATCACTACTGAGTCCGAGCTTCATGAGACCCTGTACTTAATACATTAAGGAAAAAAAAAAAAAAAAAAAAGGACAGGCCATACCCACTAAATTAAACATGCTGAGTGAATGCTGATAAATTTAAGGCACTATTCTAAAACACTGCTAGATCATATTGCACCTAACTAGTAAATAATTCATAACAACTTAAAACATTTAAAGAATATATTGATATTAGTCACTAATTTTATGACAAGAACCCTGTAGTCCAAATTCCACGTTTGCAGAATGAATCCTGTAACTGTCACCTGCAACTGTTATACTTTTGGGCCAAATAGCTCAGCGGATTAAAGCACCTACAAGCAGAAAAGGGGTCTGCTTGCCCCGCCCACCCCCAGGTCTCACTGAGAAAGCAACTGAGACTGGGCATGGTGGAACACCCTTGTGATCCCAGCACTCGGGAAGCTGTAAACAGGAGTATCACTACAAGTCTAATCTAGTAGTAGGCCCTTCCCTAAAAATACAGAAAAAAATAAAGATCCTCAGACAGAAGAATTTAAAGTCAAATTTCACAAACATAATCAAAGAAATCTTAAAGGAGATGGGCTGTGCTGTTATTTGAAGAGAGCATCTATGGAACTTGCATTGAAATTTTTAAATGAATGTGCTCACTTCAGCAGCACATATGCTAAAACTGGAATGATGCAGAGAAGATTAGCATGGCCCCTGCTCAAGGATAACACGCAAATTCGTGAAGCATTCCATATTTTAAAAAAATAAATTTTTAGATGAAGATGAAATTAAAAGGCCACAAATTACAGTGGGATTAGAGACAGGCAAGGAGGGCCAGACTACCCCAAATGTACCAAGAGCAAGCTGTCATCATCAGAAATATGTTTCACCCTACAAACTTTGAGGATGACCCACTGGTGCTGAAGGAGATCTGAAAAGATCTTCAAGAGAGGAAGCAAAGCTTGGACAAACTAAGAAGCACCTTCATTTGATAGGTACCCGATAGTGTGGCCTCTGTGTCCATTAGGGATCCAGAGGAAGCTATTATTGTATTCAAACCCTTGATGGAAGGTGGTTTGGTGGCTGTCAGATCACTGCCCAGCTACAAGATAGGACTACAGATTAACAAATAGAGACCGACAGAGAGAGAGAAGAAAGACTGAACAGAATGCGAGGCAGCTCAGCTCAGCACAGGAGCATAGGGGGAGGGGGCTTGCTAGGAAAATGAACCATATGGCAAGCCCTAGGGTCAATCTCCAGTAGCCTTCACCACTCTGCAAATAATATTAGCAACATGTGATCTCTTTTCAATCAACAAATGTGATAAGATTACCTTAATCTCTATCCTTGCTCTATGAGGAAAAAGTTGTCCAATCATAGAAAAATCAGTTCCTACCATGCTGATGGCTAGAAAGAACATATCTGTTTCTGTAAAAAGAAGATTTAGAATCAATCACTGAAATTTAATCTTTTCAGAGGAAAGAAATCTTACATAAGCATATATGAAGTTAAAAATACACATTTGACAGTAATTTTATAGAAAAAAACTTCATGTAATAAAGTACCTTAAAACACTTTTTTTAAACTTAGTGTAAGAAATTTTCATGTTCAAACTAATACAGCCAAAATTTATTAGACATTCTGTTATCTGGCCTCATTCAAAATACCTAGAAGAAATTTTTCAGTCACTACTATCCTATCATTCTATATGCAAATAAGACATGCTAAGTAGTCTGAAAAAAAAAAAGTAGCTACAAAACATGAGGAACACATGCAAAGTTACCTCAGAAGAATAGGATTGATGGAGTCCCAAAATTAGTACAGAATCTTTTCTTGCTCTATGTTTTTCTATCATTTGAATTTTTCCCAAAATATTGTTTCTTATCATAAAAAGCAACTAATAAACATATCATTTATTGTGTACTTTTTTCCTTTTTCTGTCAAATCATCTATAAAAACTTTACTATACAATACTATCTGAAGTGAAATATTATGACTATTAGAAATTACTGCTAAGGGGCCAGGGAGATGGCTTAGTAGGATAAGCCCTTGACTGGCAAATGAAAGGGTCTGAGTTCAATCCCTGGTTCCACCAAAAAAAAAAAAGAAATAAAGAAAGAAAGAAAGAAAGAAAGAAAGAAAGAAAGAAAGAAAGAAAGAAAGAGAGAGAGAAATTACTGCTAACTTTTGGGTCTAGGGAGATAGCTCAGTTGAATAAGTGCTTGCCTGGCAAGCGCAAGGGCCTAGTTCAATCCCTGGTTCCACAAAAAAAAGAGAGAGAAGAAAAGAAATTATTTACTCCCATTTAAAAGGTTCTGCTTGTATGAATTAAGTGGAAGATTCCAGACAAAAATAACCAAAGAGCTAATTCTTCAAAACATTTTTTTATCAGGATGTTTGCAGTACATAATGATTACATTCGATATAGGGAGTTGGCACAAGTGCATAATCCAATTTCATTCTTTTTGTAACCCCCTTTCCCTCCCCTCCTTGGTCTCTTGCTTTTCTAAAAAAAAAATCAAGAGACAGAGTTCCACAGTGGGGCAGGTAGAGGTGCTAATAAAATTGGCTGGAAAGGACATGCTACAGTGCTTCACATTTACCTTTTTTAGGGAAGACCTGATTTAAACTGGAAACATAAAAGTTCATTTCAAATAACTCACACAATTTTTAATGAAAATTAATTACCTTTATTTGACCATGGTTTAGAGTAATAGTTTTTCCTAAAGCTGGAATATGTAGTTGTAGAACCACACTCAAATATAGGGTCATTTTCCTCAACAACACAGGGCCCTTTTGTCCTTAAAACTTCCACAGTTAAACT